GAAGAAGTCTTTAAAAAAACAAAAATGGACTCAGACATTCTAAAATGTGTGTGTGTGTGTATATATGTATACACACACATATGTATGTGTGTATATATATAATATATATTTTTTAATCTACAGCTTGCAAAACTGAAACAAAGCCTTTAAGGCAGCCAAATTTGTCTTTTAGACAATGATGCTTCCCCATCAGGAATATCAGTAAGTTCCTTTCTTATAAACTACTCAAGACTAAAATACTAGTTATAATGCTGGTCACAACTTTGTGTACAGGATTCCTCCCCCCACACTCTGAGCTTTGGAGCAAGACTAGTTAAATTCAGATGTGATGTTAGCACCTGCAGTCTTTTTTTTGTCTTCCTGTGGTGTTATTTGCTGCAAGTAATTGTCAAAGAGCCTTGTTACCGCGCTTCCTGTTTGAGGCTATAGCAAGGAATATGTAGCCAAAGGATATTCAGGATTGACCCTTAAAAGGAACTTTTATAGTTTTTTTTTGTTGTTTAAAAAAAAGCAAGGGGGCTGTTTTAAGCAGTCTGATTGGTAAATAGCTTTAGTCTAACCGTGCCCTCCACAGTGTGCAGTGTGTTCCTGTTTGGATCAGCTAAGGTAAAGGCTGTCTAACCCCTTTTTCACCAGTGAACATGAAGAGCTTGAAGGGGTGATCTGTTTTTTTTTTTTTTAATTTTTTTCCCCTATCCCTTTTCCTGCTGTTTATTAACTTTTTGGTAGGAAATAATCTTTTAATATGAGAGAAACTGCTGATATTTTAACACAGCGTGCTCCACACCCACTAACCACTAATGCAAGGTTTGCACATATCACCTGTATGATGGGTGTGTGGGTGTGTGTGTGGGTGTGTGTGTATGTATATATATATATATATATAGCAATAAACAATAGCTTCGCTTTTGCGCTATATCAGCTATTGTAGAATAAACTTTGGAGCAATGAAAATGACCTTGTTGCTTTCCACTCTGAAGAACAAAATGTATCCTTCTCTTTAGACATCCTCATTTCTTCATAAAGCCAAAAACTTCTGTAATGGGAATAAAATTAAAGCGATATATAAGGTATGCAAGATTTAGAATATGGCAAAGAAGTTCAGCATGGGAGTTTTATGTGTTCTTGGACTGTGGATTGTATGACTCTAAGTTGCTTTCAGAGCCTAAAAAGTTTAAAGGGGATAGAAGCAAAAATAGGTATTCTACTGTTGCTTAGTCTGATTAACTTCCTAGCTGAAAGAAAACAGTTACTATTTTTTTTCTTTTATTTTCTTTTTTTTTTTTTTTTTTAACATGGGTTGCCTGGTGTTGCGGCGCTTAAAGAGCACCGTAAATTAAGCAGAGAGCAGAAGTGAAGAGTGACGGAGCTGTTGTCTTGCGCTGTGTGCTTCAGTCTGGGGCCCCGCTGGGTTATCCTCTTAGTCTGGCAGGTCTAGACGGACAAACGCAGCAATACTCCTAGCGTGGCTTGTTGTTCACGCAGTACCATAGTGCAAGCCCGATCCTATGAGAAAGCGGGGAAGTGGCTGTGGGGCGGTACCGACGCTTACAATCTCATTAATTGTCGTTGGATTTGGGGAGAGTCTAGGCTTTGCAGGACTACTTTCTCATGAGACTGTCGTGGGGCTGATATTACATAATTACCTGATTGGTAGTTGCAGGGATAATTAGTATGATACTTTAAAAAAATAAAAAAAAAAAATTAAGAAAAGTGGAACAGAATTTTCCTGTTTCAACTTGTTCTTTAAACAAGCTACTCGCAGGGTAAGAGTGCTACTAGCATGTTACTGTTCGCTCTGCAGTGTTGATATCTCTCTTTGCCATCAGCTTAATTGCTTTTTTTCCCCTCCTCCTCCTCCATTATGATACAGCAGATTTGTACCTGGCTTTTTATATTAACTTGTCTACTGTAAAGATCATGTGTTTAGCAGTGGGCCGTGTAAAAGTCCAGTCCTCTAACGACTGCCTCTAACCTTTTGTTTGGCTTTTTTAAAAGGTGGAGTCACTGTTGGTTTTCTCCAGACTTGCTGGAAATGATTTCTTCCCCCCCCTCACTATAGGAGAAGAGAAAACACATAGAAAAACTTCTTGGTGCTGATTGCAGAACCATGAAATTAAAGGCAAATGCAGTGCTCTATATTTTATAGAAAGCTGAAATAAGTTTTTTTTTTTTTTTAAGAAGGAATGTATTATTAGCAAATATTACTCGTTATCTCTAGCTTGGTTTTGGCATTCAGTGCGGGGAGAGAAGAAAGTGGGTTTCAAAGAGGATGCCCTCCTTGAGGGGACGCCTCCTGCGTGCTGACAGTGGTGAGGTGGAGAAAGCCGTCGCCCAGGTGCGTATGTTGTAAGCAGGGAAAGCAGCCCAGGCTCCCACGAGCCTGCCGAGGGCGCTGGCTTGGGTTCCCCGGG